GTGCGCCGGGTGCTCATGATGCTCGCCGGATGCCCGCCATACCTTGGAGATTGGCCGCCAAACGCGTGCGTTGCCGGGTGAGCCTTCAAACGAGGTCCTGCGCGGCCGGCTGGACAAACGCAGGTCCGATGCAGCAATGTCAGTCGGCAGACAGACAGACAGAAACACAGTTACTTACATAGATAGCGTATATGAGCACATCCATCCATTCATCCATCCATCCATCCATCCATCCATCCATCCATCCATGCATCCATGCCTGCCTGCCTGCCTGCCTGCCTGCCTGCCTGCCTGCCTGCCTGCCTGCCTGCCTGCCTCTGCCTGCCTGCATGCATACTTGCGTACACCGACGCACATACCGACACACATAACGTCCATGAGTTACATGGCATCCGCGGCATCCGCAGACGCATGCGCGAATGTATGTAATATAGGGGCCTTAGAATGGGGCTTTGGGGGTATATTACACTATAATTATAGAAAGGAGCCCCCAAAACCCTATTCTGATTATGAACCCCCCCATAGTAGATATGTCCTTGGGCTCAGATTCTATGGACTTTGCTTTCTGACCCCTGCGCAAGGCGAAAGGACGGGCCTTCGGCTTCCTCAGGTTGGCCCTTAGCAGTTGAACTCCGAGGATGGGAGACGCGCGCTTTTTTTTGGGGTTTAGGGTTTTAGGGTTTAGTGTTTTGGGGTTTAGGGTTTTAGGGTTTAGTGTTTTGGGGTTTAGGGTTTTGGGTTCAGTGTTTTGGGGTTTAGGGTTTTGGGTTCAGTGTTTTGGGGTTTAGGGTTTTGGGTTGAGGGTTGGGGTCTGATTTAAGAGTTGCTGCTGTGGTTATTCCGGGTTTAGAAGTCGGCGTGTTGAGGGTTACCGTGAGGTCTAAGGGCTTTGGATGTGGGGCGTGAGTGGGGTCTTTAGATTTCGGGTTTTCCGGCGGTTCTGGGTTTAGGGCTTAGGGCCAATGGGCCTGGAGATGTTTGTGTCTGCGGTCTGGGTTAGAGGGGGTTTCAGGGTTCGGGGGTTCGAGTTTTGGGGCCTAGGGTTTAGACGTTTCCGTCTTTTCCGGGGAAGATGGTCCTCCGGCCCTGTGTTGTTTAGAAGCCTGCAAGCCCTGCAGTTTAGGTGGATTTCAGGGGTTAGGTGAGTATCTAGGGACCATGTAAGCTCAGGCGCTACTAGGATCCTCCAGATGATAAACCACTGGCAGTTGTTTTCTTTAACGCCCCGGGTTTCGTGGCAGTCAGGACGCGTCCTGCTGCAAGGAAGTCCTGAAGGCAAAGTACTCCAAACGCGTTCAGAGGCTGGCTTTCGGTGTCGGGTTGTTTTCGTCTGGAGCCTTTTGGGAGACTGTGAAACGGCGTTCTTTGTAGCTAGAAGACCACCGGCTTTGATTTTCGAATTAGCACAGTGGCATGCGGGTTCAGGACGATTGCGAAAAAGCCTGGCAGCGCCTCACGCACTCTGGTCTTGAGGCTGCTGAGGGCATCGGGGGGCCTCGCGCAAAGCGCCTAGCCCACCTGTGTTTCACGCAGCAGACACCTGGACTTGGCTCACAGCCGTAGTTGTACCCAACTGCTTCGAGACGGACTGGTGGCTGCACGGGAACTGTTCGAAACCTTCGGCGCATCGGAACAAAAAGCGCCTTTAAGCTTCCATGACCCATCGTGGATTCGATATTCATGTCAGGGGATGTTGCATAAGTTTCAAGTGATCATGTCTGCACTTGCTCCCTATGATGCATCCTGCCCCTAAACCAACCTTCATTGTCTAGTCGGGAGCTCGGAGAAGCAGCAGGAGCATTGGAGCCGTCCTGAGAGTTTTTGTATGACCTGCCTGACATTACACCGCTTTCCTGTGCTCAAGCCGATCATCGGTCCGAATGCTCTTTGCCACCTAAGAGAGCACACCATAGCACACTCCTCTACCTAAAAGGACAGGGAGTCTATCTCAATGATACCTACCAGATGCTAGCCCCACACTGGCCTCTGTAAGCCCAGTAGGCCCCAGGTTTGAGGTCCAGTTCTTCGACTTGTGCTTCGCTGCTTCGAACGCCGGTACAGCGCTGCTGCGCTGCTGGTGCAGGCGACGGATCAGTCCCGGGTGCTGTCATCACATTCACGCTCTTACTTGTAAGGGCTCTTCGGATGACTTCTCTGCGTCTTTGCAGATGTTGCTGGCTTCGCCCATGCACAAGTATGCACATCTTGATATGACATAACCGAGATGCCCAGCTCCGAGTCAGGAGCGTGCTATGCTGCGACGACGTGTTGCCAGGGCCACGGATCGGACGAGCATCGGCGAACAATCCATGCTGTAGGAACGATTCGGAACGATGGCCGCAGCCGTGATGCGCTAAGCAGACGGTCGGCGGCCTTTTTCAGAACGGTTGTTTGCAGAACATTTGTTTGGTCCTTGACGCAACTCCTTCGGTGAACATAAGATCTCTCTCTCTCTCTCTCTCTCTCTCTCTCTCTCTCTAGGATGAAGCGCTCCTCCCTCAACACCTTGTAAAGCCCTATACCCTAAACCCTCACCCCGACAAGACCCCTCAACGACCCTTCCGCAACCCCATCCCCGGAGTTCTTCAAACGCTGTGCCCACTACTTGGCACCGCAAGGTGAACCCCAGTAGGACCCCCTTTGGCCCCTTTTCCTTTATTTGGGGGGTCTCCTTATGAAAAGCCGAATCTTAGGAAAAAGGGTACCCTGTTTGTTAAGGGGCTACTGGGGAACCTGGGCCATACACTCTACCCTAATTTGGGGTTCTTCCACTCCAGGATCTCTCCAAGTATGGTTAGGGGCCTTGGCTTCAGTCCTTCCAGGGGTTTACGGTTTAGGTTAGGGGTTTAGGGTTTAGGGGTTTAGGGATTAGGGGTTTAGGGTTCAGGGTTTCATTTCGGGGTCTATCTGTACATATTTGGGTCTCGTAACGGAAGCTCCCACTTCAAACTTCTATTGAGGTCAGGCTGACCACAGAAACCCATATGATGGCATGCTATACCGATCGAGAGCATACTTAGCTTATGATGGCTAGTCGCTAGTAGTTTTTGGCTTGCATCGTGAGTGTCGCTATCATACTTATCAGAGTGATGTCTCGGTGAGGTGAACTTCAAGCCCTGAGTGCAAAGTTCGGCTTTCTTGGGCCCGAGCGAGTCATTTTACATGGGGTTTCGTAGGGTTCCGAAAAATTCTGACTACAGTACAACAGGCTCTTAAACCCCGTTGCAATCACTAAGGACCCTATATCAGTTTGCTTGAGATGATGTGTTCTACATGGCGATTGTTTTTGCACGTCGGTCGAGTTGGTCTTGGCTTTTGGACTGAGAGGACATGTGTGTATGGACGGACCGCGGCGGCTCGCAGGAACGATCAGCTGATAGCGCCAACTTCGCACGTCTAGCATGTGCCATTTTTCAGGATTCAACGTGCAACGCAGACTCCAAAGACACATAGAATCACCACACAGCTGGCTTGCTAGCTGCGTTCCCCCTCGACAGTGACCTTAACTCTTTAAATCAAGGGAGACGGCGACAGGGTGCAGACATGGGGAAACAGGCTGGGCTTGTTCGTGAGTCGGGTCGGGATCCCACTAAGCTGTCGGGTTCGGTAGCCTTGCGACAGAGTTCGTTTCGGGATTCAAGGTCTTGGTGAGGTTGGGGTTTAGGGTTTACGGTTTTAGGGATTTGGGCGTTGGCACAGGCCACTCCGAGAAGTCTTCCACTGGCTGTCGTAGCGGCATCAGCTCTGCACATGCAGCAGCAGCTTGCTTGAAGAATGAGGGAGCGGAGCCATAATGGAACACTGGTTTCTTTACGTCAATAACCCTAAACCCTAGAAGCGCTATAAACCCTAAACCCTATAAACCCTAAACCCCTAAACCCCTAAACCCTAAAACCCCTAAACCACTCGACGACCTGCGGACGTCAAGAGAAAGCCCCAATCCAAGCAGCGCAGGTGCCCTCGAGGATGCCACCCGACTGATTTATCGGTTTAGGGTTTAGGGGGTTTAGGGCCTGCAGCGGTTTGTTTGGAAGGGGCGTGGGGCGTCCGCAAGGCCGCGGTGCCACCACCTGCGCAAGAGCAACGCGAAGTCCTGAGTCTGACCCAGAGAGCCTGATACTCCCTAAACTAAGGAATAGACCTTACTTCAATCATTGTTTGTTTTTCGGAGCTTCATAGAACTTAAGGTATATTGCTTAAAGGATATCTAACATTGTACCCTTAACCACCTACAGGTACTCGTAAAGGAAGCCCGTTATGGTATATTCCTTAATTAGGGGGCATTGGGCTCTCCGGAGCGCCGCGAGCTGCGGCCTTTCGCTTGAAAACGAAAACCTGAGGTCAGGCTACTGTAGGAGGCCTGTCTGTTTAGTAATATCATTCCGCACGAGGTTGCTTAAAAAAGTAAAACCACACCACCACCGCCGCCATCATCACCACCACGACCACGACCACGACCACGGCCACGACGACGACCACGACCACCACCACCGCCGCCACCACCGGCACCAAAACCACCGCCGCCGCCGCCGCCGCCGCCACCCCCACCACCACCACCACCACCACCACCACCGCCACCATTATCATTGCTTCTGATGATACTAACAATAATACTAATCATTATGATAGTAGTAAAATATTTATAACAACAATAATAATCACACTCATAATGATAGGAATAATAAGAACAAGAACAAGAAGAGACTGCCAAGGATAATAATAATAATAACAAAGGTAACAATAACAATAACAATAGTTTAACAATAGTATAGCATACCCTAAATCCCATTCCAACTGTTGAGGCCCGATATTTGGCTGACTCTAAAGCTGCCGGGGGAAAGCATCTTCCCGTGCAGATGTCTCCATGCTGGCTCTGCTGCTCTTGGGCTCAGGATCTAAATTCTCAACTTTTCCTTTGGGCAGGTTTGAGAAGGGGAAGCCTTCGACTTCGGGAGTGATATAACCTAAATCTCCAGCACTTGGGTTCATCGTGCAAGGGGTTCAAGTCTTTTGAAGATACAGCTGCTCCGTCATTGCCGACATGGCTGCAGCGCCCAGTTCAGGTCCTCCGCGGTGCATGAGAGTCTTCTGCCGGCGTTTTCTTTTCCGCTTTCTGCTGGTAGGCAGCCCCAGTCAAGACAGCCTCTACCGAAGACTGCCCGCCACAATCACAGAGCGATTGCATCCAGGGGTTTCAGAAATCTTGCGGGCCCCCTGGGCCCTCAAATCTAAACATTTTCTACACCCTGAGCCGAGGTGTCCCTGCCTTAAGGCTTTGATAGGCTTTGCCTCGTGCACCCCAGCTGTGGCACAGATGCCTTCACGGCAAATTCTACGGCAACAACGTAAGGTCCTACGGCGTCTTTTCTATGGCCGATGTCGGGTAAGACCTGCCATGAAGCACCCCACACCCCCTGAACCTGAAGCCAAGACCACAAGCTCACAGGGGTACAAATACTGTCGGATTTTCATTGCGATCACTTGGAGTTCTGTGTGGGTGTGTCAGTGAGAGGGTTGAAGTTGAAGCTCACACCTTCTCCATACTAAGCTTTAGCTGCTCCTCGCCTCGTCTTCGCAGCCGTAGACCAAGGGTAAGATGACCTGCGGGAAGAGAGCGAGATGCTCTGAGGTCTCATGGAGGCACTTAAGAGGTTCCAGCTGGCTTCTGGGCTGTTCTGTGCTGGGCTTGGCGGCTTGTGGGCCGCCCTGGTGGAGGAAGGGCCGGCCGCGGAAGGTGCGCATCTGCGCGGAGGTGGAGCTGTTGTCGCGTCTGGCCGAGCTGCTGATGCCGCAGACGCCCATCGGCGAGCTGTTTCGGGACTTCCCTGCAGGGCCCTCGCGGGAGCCGCAGTGGCTCAGCCCCGGCATTGCTGCGTTTGGTGTGCTGGAGGACGAGGGCGCAGCCTTGTTCGTCGAGTACGACAAGACAGACAGGAACTCCGATGAACAAGCCGAAAACGAGGAACAGCTCAAGACGAAAGCTCTGCTCCAATACGCACCCGCCGGCTCGCGTGTGCTGCGAATAGGCCACAGGGCACAGGACTTCGGAGGGCAACAGAAGTCGGTGGATGCGATCGTGAACGTGTGGCGCGAGGGGCACAAGCCATCATTGATGAAAGCTGTGAGCCAAAGTGTTTGGGTCCTGCTGAGCAGCTGCGACATTGCGCTTCGAGAGGATGTTCATCAGAATCTCCACAGATTCGCAGTCACCGAACCGAAACCATGCCTTCGCAAGGCATGCGAGTTTTCTACGAAGGCATTGCTTGCCAGCGAGGTCAAAACGAAGAAGGCCAACGTGATGGCTTTTCTGGAAGAGCATCTCGACTTTTCACAAAGCCGAAGCCAAGCTTTGGTAGACAAGTTTCCAAGACTCTCTGGCATGACCGTGGATGGCAAGTTGAAGCCAATTGTGGCATGGCTGGAGGATGTTGGGCTGAGCCGGAAACAGGTGGCCAAAGTTGTTGCTGGATTTCCTGCGTTTTTGGGCTACAGCCTCGAGGCCAATCTGAAGCCCACAGTGGCCTGGCTTGGAGCTGTTGGTCTGAGCCGTGAGCGGGTGGCCAACGTCGTTGCTACTTATCCGCAGGTTTTGGGCTGTAGCCTCGAGGACAACTTGAAGCCTACACTGACTTGGCTCGAGGATGTTGGTCTGAGCAGAGCAGAGGTCGCCAAAGCCATTTCGGGCTCTCCCAAGATTCTGAGCTACAGTGTCAAGGGCAATCTGAAGCCCACCGTGGCCTGGCTTCAAGAGATTGGACTGAGCCCATCACAGGTAGCCAAGGCTGTTGCTGGCCTTCCTTCAGTCTTGGGTCTCAGCGTCGAGGCGAATCTGAAGCCCACGGTGGGTTGGCTCGAGGATCTTGGGCTGAGCCGACAGGAGGTGGCGAAAGTTGTGGCCGCTTCTCCTCAGGTTTTGGGCCTAAGCATCGAGGCCAATCTGAAGCCCATGGTTTCTTGGCTGGAGGAGGTCGGGCTAACAAGGCTGCAGGTGGCCAAAGTCCTTAGAGGTCATCCTTCAGTCTTGCGGTATGGCCTCGACTCCAATCTGAAGCCCACAGTCGCCTGGCTCGAGGATGTTGGGCTGAGCCGAGAGCAGGTGGCCAGAGTCGTTGCTAGCAGTCCTTCGGTGTTGGGCTACAGCATCGAGGCCAGCTTGAAGCCCAAAGGGGCCTGGCTCGAGGATCTTGGGCTGAGCCGCCAACAGGTGGCAAAAGTCGTTGCTGGATTTCCCTCTGTCTTGTGCTACAGTATCGGCGACAATCTGAACCAAAAAATTGCCTGGCTCGAGGATGGTGGGCTGAGCAGAAAGCAGGTGGCCAAAGTCATAGCTCGCTTTCCTGCAATCTTAGGCTACAGTATCGACGGCAACCTGTCGCAAAAACGGCATCTTTTGCAGAAGTTTTTCTCCAAAGAAGAGATGGCCTCCATGATTGAGCGCCATCCACCCATACTCGGCTACAGCTATGCTCGCCTGTTTCATCGCCTGGAGGTCCTGCAGGAGCACAATTGTTTGTCGAAGCTTCCCAGCATGATGCCCCTGACGGACGCGAAGTTTGAGCGGCGGTTTTGTGCAGAGTGCTGTGGCGAAAAGCGCGGGGCGATGTGTGTTGAACCGCTAATTCCAGAAATTACTCATGTAGTTCGAGAGCAGACGTGTTGCTCTGTTCAGGCAGTACAGCAGGAAGCTGCGCAGCTTGATCACTACGACTTCCCGTATCCCGAGAGCCCTTCATATCGTCACACTCCTCTTATGCCCTCTGCTCAGACTGAGAACCCATTGCTCGGGGGCTTCCGGTAGTTTGTTAGCGGAGGTGCCCTTGTCAGCTCGACTTGCACAAGACCAACGCGAAGTCCACGAGTGCGCAGGGCCGCGTTCAAAAGGCGTGTGTGTGCTCTGTCTGTCTGTGTCTGTGTGTGTGTGTGTGTGCGTGCATGGGGAGCTGTCCTGTGTACTGTTGGACCAACGAAGATTGGGCCTGGCTGGACATTGCCGATTCAGTGTTGCTGAAGATTGATGGCTTCTTCACACTTTGCAATGCCTCTCAGAGCTCTGCAATCTCACCCAAACCTGCAAATCAGGCGAGACACTGGGACTCAACATTCCAGCCTTTCTCTCATGTTGGACTGTTTCTACTGATACCGCAAACCTTGGCTTTCCTCAGTAAGGAAGCCCCTATTCTAATCATGGAAGCTGGAGGCCCCTACGTACTAACGCCATTGCCCCAAGCCTAGGAAGTAGGGCTTTTGTTGGAATATGGCTGCTTGTCGTGGGTCCGTGGCTGTCTCAGCGTAGTCTCCAGCATTCTCCATCCAAAGACAAAGTTGGACTGCGCACGCTTCATGCAGCAAGGTACTTGGTAAGCCAGTGGTTCCCTTCAGTACAAGTAGGATATCCCAGATTGGACAGTCACAGGCCCTACAGCATCTCGTAAGTATTTCGCATCTTTGAGGTGATGAAGACTCGACTCCATCAGGTCCTTGCCTCGTTGCCCACGCCTTGGCGCGAGCTCTTTAAAGTCGAAGCCGGCTCTTCGAATGCAAATCCTAAACTCATGAACAACCAAGTCAACACCCCAAAACTCCTGAACCCCTAAATTTCCAAACTCCGGAATTCCTAAACTCCGACACCTCTGAACCATTCTGAAGCCCCTGAGCACCTCCTCCCACAGTCCGAGAGCTTGCTTTATGGCCGCCATGGGCCGCAGTGAGAGGTTGAGGCGCCACCTTCGCTGCTTTTCGCATCATATGGGCTTCATTTTGCTCTCCTCGGAGACTCACGGTTTGCTGATCATGTCGTGAGGAGAAACCGGGGAGCTTTGTAGCTCAGGACGTTGCCAGTCTCTCTCCCGGCTGTTTGTTTCCTCTTGCCTGTAGACTCTTGAGAGAGGGGCAGTGGCTTCCTAGTGGTTGGAGGGGATCTGTGAGAGATTCTCTAATCTAGTACTCAAAGTTAGCTAAACCTGGTCCTAAGTTCGGACGCCCAGATGCAGCATGCGAATGCTGCGGCTCTTTTTTTTTTTCAGTTGGGTTTGGTTGGGAATTTGCTGCAGCTGTTCCCGGCCTCGTCCTCGCAGCCCGAGTAGATCGAGCGTAGAGATGACATTCGCGAAGAGAGTGAGATGCTATGAGGTCTCATGCAGACGCCTGAGGGGTTCCAGCTGGCTTCTGAGTCTGAGCTGCTTCCTGCTCGGCTTGGCGGCGTGTGGTCCACCCTGGTGGAGGAAGGGCCGGCCGCGGAAGGTGCGCATCTGCGCGGAGGTGGAGCTGTTGTCCCGTTTGGCTGAGCTGCTGATGCCGCAGACGCCCATCGGCGAGCTGTTTCGGGACTTCCCTGCAGGGCCCTCGCGGGAGCCGCAGTGGCTCAGCCCCGGCATTGCTGCGTTTGGCGTGCTGGAGGACGAGGGCGCAGCGTTGTTCGTCGAGTACGACAGGACGGACAGGAACTCCGATGAACAAGCTCAAAACGACGAAGAGCTCAAGACGAAAGCTCTGCTCCACTACGCACCAGCCGGCTCGCGTGTGCTGCGAATAGGCCACAGGGCGCGGGACTTCGGATGGCAACAGAAGTCACTGGACGCGGTCGTGAACGTGTGGCGTGAGGGCCATGAGGCGTCACTGATGAAAGCTGTGAGCCAAAGTGTTTGGGTCCTGCTGAGCAGCTGTGACATTGCGCTTCGAGAGGATGTTCATCAGCGTCTCCACAGATTCGCAGTCACCGAACCGAAACCATGCCTTCGCAAGGCATGCGAGTTTTCTACGAAGGTATTGCTTGCCAGCGAGGTCAAAACGAAGAAGGCCAACGTGACGGCTTTTCTGAAAGAGCATCTCGACTTTTCACAAAGCCGAAGCCAAGCTTTGGTGGGCAAGTTTCCAAGACTCTTGCGAAGTGTGGAAGGCAGGTTGAAGCCGATTGTGGCATGGCTGGAGGATGTTGGGCTGAGCCGGAAGCAGGTGGCCAAAGTTGTTGCGGGATTTCCTCCGGTTTTGAGCTACAGCCTCGAGGCCAATCTGAAGCCCACAGTGGCCTGGCTTGGAGCTGTTGGTCTGAGCCGGATGCAGGTGGCCAAAGCCATCTGTGCCTCTCCTTCCGTCCTGGGTCGAAGCATCGAAGCCAAGCTGAAGCCGACTGCAGCTTGGCTTGAGGACGTTGGGCTGAGCCGGAAGCAGGTGGTAAAAGCTGTCGCCGGTCATCCTCAAATCTTGGGCTACAGCGTTGAGGCCAATCTGAAGCGCACTGTGGCCTGGCTTGAAGGTCTGGGGCTGAGCCGAAGGCAGGTGACCAAAGTCTTGGCTTTGGAGCCTAAAGTTTTGGGCTACAGCCTCGAGGCCAATTTGAAGCCCACAGTAGCCTGGCTCGAAGATGTGGGTCTGAGCCGACAGCAGGTGGTCAAAGCCATCTCGGTCTCTCCTGGAATCCTGGGCTGCAGCGTCGGGGGCAATCTGGAGCCCACGGTGGCCTGGCTCGAGGATCTTGGGCTGAGCCGACAACAGGTGGCCAAAGTCACTGCTGACAGTCCTTCGGTTTTGGGCCTCAGCATCGAGGCAAACTTGAAGCCCAAAGTGGCATGGCTGGGGGATGTTGGGCTGAACCGAGAGCAGGTGGTCAAAGTTGTTGTGGGTTTTCCGCAACTCTTCGGCCTAAGCATCGAGGCCAAACTGAATCCTACGGTGGCCTTGTTCCAGGATGTCGGGCTGAATCCGGAGCAGGTGGCCAAAGTCATCGTCCGCTTACCTAAAGTGTTCAGTTACAGCATTGATACCAAGTTGAAGCCCGTTGTGATGTGGTTAGAGGAGGTCGGATTGACACAGCTGCAGGTGGCAAGGGTCATTGCAGCCTTTCCGCAAGTGCTCAGCCTCAGCATCGAGAAGAACCTGTCTCCCAAGCATCTCTACTTGCTGGAGCACCTCTCCGGTGACGAAGTCCGAGACATGATCCTACGTCTGCCTGCGCTACTGGGCTTCAGTTTCTCTCGGCTGCGCCATCGCCTACATGTGCTGCAGAACCACGATGCTGTGTCAAATCTAGCTTTCGCCATGACCTTGACGGATGCTCACTTTGCCAAGAAATATCCGTGTTGATCCAGGTCCAGGTGCACCGGGACGATCCGTCAGGATGGTCACGCAACCTGTCCTGTATCCACTTGACTCAACAAGAAGTGCATGGCTGCGAAGTCGTGCTTTGCAGACGCTTTCCGCGAAGGTCTCCGTGCTGCCCGGGGTACGGAGCCGACGAAGAGGCCGTCTTCCGGCCCAACAATGCCGACATGTTGACTCTGACATCTCAACCGGACTGACTCAACCGCGACTTTCGAGGCATCCAAGTTTCTGACAGTCTGGGACATCAGGAAGTCGAAAATAGGTGTGGCTTGACGATGATGGGCCGAACGGGCGGCAAGCACTGCAGTCTTTCGCTGTTCAAGGGCTGCAGAATTGGAGCCCTGAGCCCAGGAAACATGTGACCAGAGTCGTTGCTGGTTTTTCCGCGGTTTTGAAGTGTGAGAACAAAGCCGCTGCTGAAACCACATCTATTGCTGCCCATGCATCGTGCGTACCCCCGAGTGCTAGCCCGAGTCGTCGATTGCCATTTGCCACGGTTGTCCATTGAAGCTCGCTCGGGATATGGCCTTGACGGAGCTGGCGAGTTTCACGGCTGCCCTGGAAAGGAATGGGTCGATGAGGCAAAAGCTCATCAAGGCGATACAGTAGCGTACTCAGTAGCGTGGGGGCCTGATTCTGTTTCTGGTTTTCTCCCGATATCCCTGAGCTTTCCTTCTAGGTTAAGGGCTTGGCTAGCGATGCTTCTCAGACAGCAAGGCAGTTGCATTTGTAGACATTGCAAATTCATGGCTCTACTGTTCGGACGTGGTACTTAAACAACAGACAGAGCCTCTGCATGTCCAGCTGCAGCTGTTGACGGCTTCGTCCTCGCAGCCGGAGTAGATCGAGCGTAGAGATGACGTGCGCGAAGGGAGCGAGATGCTGTAAGGTCTCATGCAGACGCCTGAGGGGTTCCGGCTGGCTTCTGAGCTGCTTCCTGCTCGGCTTGGCGGCGTGCGGTCCACCCTGGTGGAGGAAGGGCCGGCCGCGGAAGGTGCGCATCTGCGCGGAGGTGGAGCTGTTGTCCCGTTTGGCTGAGCTGCTGATGCCGCAGACGCCCATCGGCGAGCTGTTTCGGGACTTCCCTGCAGGGCCCTCGCGGGAGCCGCAGTGGCTCAGCCCAGGCATGGCTGCGTTTGGCGTGCTGGAGGACGAGGGCGCAGCCTTGTTCGTCGAGTACGACAGGACAGACAGGAACTCCGATGAACAAGCTCAAAACGACGAAGAGCTCAAGACGAAAGCTCTGCTCCACTACGCACCAGCCGGCTCGCGTGTGCTGCGAATAGGCCATACGGCGCGGGACTTTGGAAGGCAACAGAAGTCGGTGGACGCGGTCGTGAACGTGTGGCGTGAGGGCCATGAGGCGTCACTGCTGAAAGCTGTGAGCCAAAGTGTTTGGGTCCTGCTGAGCAGCTGTGACATTGCGCTTCGAGAGGATGTTTATCTGCGTCTCCACCGCTTCGTCGTCACAGATCCGAAACCAGGATTCCACAAAGCATGCACGTTTGCAAGGAAGGTGGTGTTTACAGGCGAAGCCGAAACGAAGAGAGCCAACGTGATGGCTTTTCTGGAAGAGGATCTAGGCTTCTCACAAACCCGTATCCAGGCTTTGGTGGGCAAGTTTCCAAGAATCTTAGGAATCAGTGTGAATGACAGGTTGAAGCCGATGGTGGCATGGCTTGAGGGTGTTGGGCTGAGCCGGAAGCAGGTGGCCAAAGTTGTTGCCGCTCATCCTCAAGTCTTGAATCTTAGCATCGAGGCGAGTCTGAAGCCAAAAGTGGCCTGGCTTCAAGGGCTTGGACTGACCCGGAAGCAGATGGCCAGAGTTATTTCTTTCAGTCCTCAAATTTTTGGGTACAGCCTCCAAGCGAGACTGGAAGCAACAGTGGCCTGGCTTCAGGATCTTGGCCTCAGCCAACAGCAGGTGGCCAAAGCCATCTCTGTCTCTCCTGCAATCTTGTGCTGCAGCGTCGAGAGCAATCTGAAGCCGACGGTGGTCTGGCTTGAGGGCGTGGGGCTGAGCCCAGCGCAGGTGGCCAAAGTTATAGCCGTGAAGCCGCAAACCCTTGGATTCAGCCTTGAAGCCAAACTGAAACCTACGGTGGCATGGCTGGAGGATCTGGGGCTGACCAGCAGGCAGGTGGCCAAAGCCATCTCTGTCTCTCCTGCAATCTTGGGCTGCAGCGTCGAGGGCAATCTGGAGCCCACGGTGGCTTGGCTCGAGGAGGTTGGGCTGAGCCGGCAGCAGGTGGCAAAAGTAGTGGCAGGTTCTCCTCCGGTTCTTGGTCTAAGCATCGAGTCCAATTTGAAGCCCAAAGTGGCGTGGCTGGAAGAAGTTGGGCTGAACCGACAGCAGATTGCCAAAGTCGTTGCCGGCTTTCCGCCAGTCCTGGCATGCAGCACTGAGGCCAAACTGAAGCCTATCATGGTCTGGCTCGGAGACGTTGGGCTGATTCCGGAGCAGGTGGCCAAAGTCATCGTCCGCTTACCTAAAGTGTTCAGTTACAGCATTGATACCAAGTTGAAGCCCGCTGTTATGTGGTTAGAGGAGGTCGGATTGACACAGCTGCAGGTGGCAAGGGTCATTGCAGCCTTTCCGCAAGTGCTCAGCCTCAGCATCCAGAAGAATCTGTCTCCGAAGCACCTTTTCTTGCTGGAGCACCTCTCCGGTGACGAAGTCCGAGACATGATCCTACGTCTGCCTGCGCTACTGGGCTTCAGTTTCTCTCGGCTGCGCCATCGCCTACATGTGCTGCAGAACCACGATGCTGTGTCAAATCTAGCTTTCGCCATGACCTTGACGGATGCTAACTTTGCCAAGAAATATCCGTGTTGATCCAGGTGCACCGGGACGATCAGTCAGGATGGTCACGCAACCTATCCTGTATCCACTTGACTCAACAAGAAGTGCATGGCTGCGAAGTCGTGCTTTGCAGACGCTTTCCGCGAAGGTCTCCGTGCTGCCCGGGTTACGGAGCCGACGAAGAAGCCGTCCTCCAGGCCACTTCCGGCGCAAGAATGCCGACGTGTTGACTCTTACATCGTTCTGCGGCTCTCAACCGCGACTTTCGAGGCATTCAAGTTTCTGACAGTCTGGAACATCAGGAAGTGGAACATAGGCGTGGCTTGACGATGGTGGGCCGAACTGGCGACAAAGCATTGCAGTGTCTGTCGCTGCTCATGCGCTGCAGAATTTTCCAATGCTATCCTGCCTGGGCCTAGATGCTTGGCTGAGCGGGAAACATGTGACCAGAGGTTGCTGGGTTTTTCTGTGGTTTTGGGTTACCGTAAGAGCAAAGCCGCTGCTGAAGCCACAGCTGCTGCCGCCCATGCTTCGCGAGTAGCCACCCCAGCGCTTTCGTCACTTGCTGATCTGGGTGAAGGGTGTTTTGGCACGGTCGTCCATAATTGAAGCTAGACGGGTCGATGAGGTAAAAGCTCACCAAGTCGATGCAGTAGTTCAGGACTGAGATGCAATCGCGTTACCTATGCTATACCGAAGTCAACACATCCGAAACCAAAGACGGCTTACTCTCGCCGCCAGAAGAAGAGCCTCCAAGGTCGTCCAGCTTGAAAGCTGTCACTTTTCTGGGTTTTGCCCGATATCCCTGAGCTGCCCAGCAAGGTTGTGGGCTTGGCTAGCGATGCTTCTCAGACTGCAAGGCGGTTGCATTGCACGTTTAATCTTTATACTATTTATACTGTTAGGAGGTGGTGCTTAAGCAACAGACAGAGCTTCTGCATGTCCAGCTGCAGCTGTTCCCGGCCTCGTCTTCGCAGCCGTAGATCGAGGGTAGAGATGAAGTGCGTGAAGAGAGCGAGATGCGGTGAGGTTTCATGCAGACGCCTGAGGGGTTCCAGCTGGCTTCTGAGCTGTTTCCTGCTCGGCTTGGCGGCGTGCGGGCCGCCCTGGTGGAGGAAGGGCCGTCCGCGGAAAATGCACCGCAGCTATCCCGAAATCGAGCTGTTGTCCCGTCTGGCTGAATTGCTGATGCCGCAGACGCCCATCGGCGAGCTGTTTCGGGACTTCCCTGCAGGGCCCTCGCGGGAGCCGCAGTGGCTCAGCCCCGGCATTGCTGCGTTTGGCGTGCTGGAGGACGAGGGCGCAGCCTTGTTCGTCGAGTACGACGGAAGCGATGGGCACACGGATGCACAGGATGGCAAGAACGATGAGCTTAAGACGCAAACTCTGCTCCGATACGCGCCGAAGGGCTCACGCATGCTGCGAATATGCCATGTAGCCCGGGACTCTGGAAGGATGGAGAACGTGGTGGATGCGACCGTGAATGTGTGGCGTGAAGGGCATGAGCCGTCGCTAATGAAAGCTGTGAGCCAGACCGTTTGGGTCCTGTTGAGCAGTTGTGACATTGCACTTCGAGAGGATGTTCGTCGTCATCTCGATGCCTTTGCAATCAACGAACCGAAACCCAGGTTCAAAAAGGCGTGTACGTTTACAAGAAAGGCGGTGCTCATTAAGGACATCGAATCGAAGAAGTCCAAGGTGCTGGCCTTTTTGACAAGGGATTTGGATTTCTCCAGCACCCAGGTCAAAGCATTGGCGAGGCGGTTTCCAAGAATATGGTGCATCAGTGTTGGCGACAGGTTGAAACCTGTTGTGGCATGGCTTGACTACATCGGGCTGAGTCGACAGCAGGTGGCCGAAATCGTGGCTAAACATCCTCAGGTCTTGGGCTGTCGAATCGATGCCAATCTGAAGCCCACAGTTGCCTGGCTTGAAAGTGTGGGGCTAGCACGCCAGCAGGTTGCCAAAGTCATTTCGGCGAAGCCTCAAGTGCTTGGGTGCAGCCTCGAAGACAACTTGAAGCCCACAGTAGCCTGGCTCGAGGATCTTGGGCTGAGCCGCAAGCAGGTGGCCAAAGTCGTCACTGGCTTTCCTGCAGTCTTGGGCTTAAGCATCGAGCGCAATCTGAAGCCTACCATGGCCTGGCTTGAAGATGTTGGGCTGAGCCGGACACAGGTGGCCAAAGTCGTTGCTGGCTTTCCTCAAGTGTTGGGCTACAGCATCGACGGCAATCTAAAGCCCACGGTGGCCTGGCTTGAAGACACTGGGCTGAACCGAAAGCAGGTGGCCAAAGTCGTTGCTGGTTATCCGCGCATACTGGGATTGAGTATCACGGCCAATTTGAAACCCAAAGTGGCCTGGCTTGGGGATGTTGGGCTGAGTCGATCACAGGTGGCAAAGGTTATCGCGCGCTTGCCTCAAATGTTTGGGTACAGCATTGATGCAAAATTGAAGCCGTCCGTGTTGTGGCTAGGGGAGATCGGATTGACACAGCTCCAGGTGGCAGGAGTCATTGCAGCCTTCCCGCAACTGCTCAGCCTCAGCATCCAAAAGAATCTGTCTCCCAAGCATCTTCTCTTGCTGGAGCACTTCTCCAGTGACGAAGTCCGAGACATGATCCTACGTCTCCCTGCGCTACTGGGCTTCAGTTTCTCTCGGCTGCGTCACCGCCTACATGTGCTGCAGAAGCACAGCGCTCTGTCAAGGCTGCCTCCCGCCATGACATGGACCGATGCTGACTTTGCCAAGCAATTCACGTCTTAAGCCGGGAGTCCCATGTGCGAGCGGTATTTACAAGATCACGCAACACGTCCTTCAACCTGTGACACATGTCGAGAGATCTTAAATGCCTGGGTTCAGCAACGCGGAGCTGCAAAGCATGCTTGGAAAGGGTGTTTGCTTCGATGATCCCGCCCCAGTCTTTGGGAAGTATGCAAGCTCACAAGTGGAGGCATCCCCCCAATTAACTTCCGAGACCAATGAAGCCGAGACGCTTTGGAAGAGATCTCCAGCTCTCAACTGCTGTGGTCGTGAACGCTGACAAGTTGCAACCCGAAGTCGGGCTCGGCTTGCACGCGTTGGCCGGAGCCGGATGAGGTCATTGCCTGCTTTCGTCGGGGTTTGGCTTCCAGACCGCAGGTGAAACTGAAGCCCACTGTGACACGGCTTGAGGATGATGGGTAGCATGCAGTCCCTGGCCAAAGTCGTTGCTTGCGTCGATCCAGGGTCTGCGCATCGACTGCAACCCAAAGCCGGCCTAACTTCAAAGTGACTTGAAAGTGTCGGAGCCTGCTGGTTTGTCTTACTTTCGGGCTGTAGGCTAGATCACCACCAATAGACTTGCCTTGGACTCTCTAAGCCAGAACCTCGAAGACCAGCTCAGTTTCGGGGGTCGCGGGCATCTCTAGGGGTTCACTACCTTCGCCAAACGCTAAACCTTGGAACCCTGGCCCCTAACCCACCCCCAAACCGGAACAGCGGCTTGCGTTCCGAAAGGCAGCGGTGCCGCGGCATGCGCAAGAGCAGCGCGCAGTCCTGAACACGTAGCGGGCGGTGGCTTCAGCATGCTGCATTCGGCTGAAAACAAGAGCCTGTTGGAAAACGCCTCCTGGCCCTCTGCAGTGCCCAAGGTGCCCCCGGTGCTCATGTTGATTGCCTGCCCGGGATCGCAGGAAGTTGCAGATGCTTCGAAGCAGTGTTCCCACATGCATGATACTGGTAGGCCAAGGTCCTTCTTGTATTAGAAGCTGTGCCAGATGTCTCGTCGTTGCAGATTCACCACTAGCTCTGATGCTCCTGGGCTCCACATCTTTGCGGTCCATCATTGAAAGTCTGATAAAAAAGCCACGGCCACAAGTAGAACCCAAATCGCAGCCTAACTTTTCGAGCCGCCCCTGCCGACAGTTCTCCCGTGGAGGCGTGGCAGGGTCGGCTCTGAGTTCCCGGGTTTAGGGGATGCAGCGGTTTAGGGTTTCGGGTGGTCTGGGTACAGGGGCCCTAAGCTGGTACTCTATCTGGGTTGTGGGTTCAAATCACAAATCCAATGCCCACAGGCCCACCCCGAAGATTCTTCTGAAGCTTCGTTCAGATTCACTGGAAAGAAACTCCATCTGCTGGCCCCTCACTTGTATCTCGGACTTTTCCTTCGGCGTTCGGGCTCTGAGTCTCGGAGGGAACGATTGGGGAGGTTCATCATGCGGAGCTGCAAAGTGGCCGTTTGTCAGGCAAGATACCCCCGGATCTCTCCGGCTGTTTAACTGCTATTCGGTTCTGTTTGCGAAAGATGGGGGTTGTCTATTTCATATCATCCTGCAACCCCACGGATATACGTCCCAGATCTTCCCAGACTCCCCAAGCAGAGTCAGTAAAAGCATTCGCGACTATCACCGAGTGCTTTCTAGACGTGGGGATCTGGAGCAGCTTATCAAGGTGATGTGTCGGAAATTCGTAGGACATGCACTTGAATGTCAGTCCAGGCAGCCCCTCAGCGAGTGTGAACCGCCCAGTAAGCTGAACTGCATCTGCAGGCTCAGTTTCTCAGAGGCGTAAGGGCTGCGTCGGAGTTGCATCACGATCGCACGTTGTTCAGTCTGAGGGTCCAAACTCAAGACATTCGTCCATTTTTAGCTTTTTTGCATCGTATTTATCTGGTGCGAATTGCTGTGGTGCTTTCCGACGTAGCCTACCCACGCCAAGCTACAACTCTTCCGCTCTGGAGATGATGTGCTCTGGAGGCCATGGAGGTGTCTGGGAGCCACCCTTTCAATCCTCCTTGCCGGCCGTGGTGTTGGAGAAAGGGCCGATCCATTGTGGTCCGCCTCGGTGCCTGCTGGCTCCTCCTCTGTTTCGTGCTGGGCCTGGCAGCTTGCGGGCCGCCCTGGTGGAGGAAGGGCCGGCCGCGGAAAATGCACGGCAGCTATGCCGAGGTGGAGCTGTTGTCCCGTCTGGCAGAGCTGTTGATGCCACGGCAACCCATCAGCCGGCTGTTTCGGGACTTTCCTGTGGGGCCACACTGGCTCAGCCCTGGCATTGCTGTGTTTGGCGTGCTGGAGGAGGAGGGCGCAGCTCTTTTCGTCGAGTACGATGGAACTGGCAATTGGGAGGAGCTCAAAGCGCAAGCTCTGCTCAAATACGCGCCCAAGGGCTCATGCCTGCTGCGGATAGGCCACAAAGAGCGTGAGTTGACGAGGATCGAGAATTCGGTGGATGTGATCGTGAATGTGTGGCGCCAGGGGCATGAGCCGTCACTGATGAAAGCTGTGAGCCAAACCGTCTGGGCCATGCTGAGTAGTCGCGACATCGTGCTTCGGGAAGATGTTCGCCTGCGTCTGGCTGAATTTGCGGTCACAGAGCCGAAACCAAGATTCAACAAGGCACGCAACTTTGCTAGCAAGCCAGTGCTCATCAGCGACGCCAAGACAAAGAAGGCCGATGTGCTTGGCGTTTTGGAAGGGGATCTGGGTTTCTCAAATTCCCGACTCAAGGCTTTAGCAGACAAGTTTCCACGAATATGGGGTATCAGCGTCGAGGGCAAGTTGAAGCCGATGGTGGCATGGCTTCGGGAACTCGGACTGACCCGAAAGCAGATGGCCAAAGCCATTTGTCTGTCTCCCTCAATCTTGGACAGCAGCATTGATGCGAAACTTAAACCCACAGTGGCTTGGCTTGAAGATGTTGGGCTGTGTAGAAAGCAGGTGGCCAAGGTCATTGTTGGTCACCCTTCAGTCTTGGGCCTAAGCATCGACGACAATCTGAGCCCCACTGTGGCCTGGCTTCAAGATTTTGGATTGTGCCGACAGCAAGTGGCAGGAGCTGTTGCGGGCTATCCTCAAGTGTTGGACCTCAGCATCGAGGGCAATCTGAAGCCCACAGTGGCCTGGCTCGAGGATCTTGGGCTGAGCCGCAAGCAGGTGGACAAAGTTGTTGCGGGTTTTCCGCGAATGTTGGGCCTAAGCATCGAGGCCAATCTGAAGCCTACCCTGGCTTGGCTTGAGGATGTTGGGCTGAGCCGACGGCAAGTTGCAAAAGTTGTTGCCGCTTTTCCGCAAGTTTTGGGCTATAGCATTGAAGGCAATCTCAAGCCGACGGTTTCATGGCTTCGGGCTATCGGCCTTAGCCGAAAGCAGGTGGCCAAGGCCATCTTTGCATCTCCCACAACTTTGGGCTACAGCATTGAATCAAACATGAAGCCCACCGTGGCTTGGCTTGAACATCTTGGACTGAGCGGGCCGCAAGTTGCCAACGTGGTCCTTACCTTCCCCTCGGCATTGGGCAAAAGCATCGAGGCCAAACTGAAACCCACGGTGGCCTGGCTTGAAGATGTGGGGCTGAGTAGAACGCAGGTCGCAAGAGTCGTGTCCGGGCACCCTCCGGTGCTGGGCTACAGCATCGAGGCCAATCTCAAGCCAACAACGGCTTGGCTCGAGGATGTTGGGCTAAATCGGCAGCAAGTGGCCAACGTCGTCATTGGTTTTCCTTCGGTGTTCAGCTACAGTCTCGAGGCCAATCTGAAGCCCAAAGTTGCCTGGCTCGAGGATCTTGGGCTGAGCCGCAAGCAGGTGGCCAAAGTCGTCACTGGCTTTCCTGCAGTCTTGGGCTTAAGCATCGAGCGCAATCTGAAGCCTACCATGGCCTGGCTTGAGGATGTTGGGCTGAGCCGAGAGCAGGTGGTCAAAGTCGTCCGAGGTTTTCCTATGGTCCTGGGTTACAGTGTAGAGGCCAAGTTGAAGGCCACGGTGGCCTGGCTCGAGAGTGTTGGTCTGAGCCGGCTGCCAGTGGCCAAAGTCGTCGCTCAGTTTCCACAGGTCCTCGGGTTGAGCATCGAGTCTAACCTGAAGCCCACAGTGGCCTGGCTCGAGGATGTTGGGCTTAGCCGACGGCAGGTGGCCAAGGCAATTTCTGTCTCCCCTTCAATCTTGGGCTGCAGCATCGAGGGCAAGCTAAAGCCCACAACAGCTTGGCTTGAAGATGTCGGGCTTAGCCGAGAGCAGATAGGCAAAGTACTTGCTGCAAGACCTCATACACTGGGCTACAGCATCGAGGGCAATCTGAAAGGCAAAGAGGCCTGGCTTCGGGCCACTGGGCTGAACGACAAGCAGGTGGTCAGAGTCATTGCTGGCTTTCCGGCAGTTTTTGGCTACGGCATCGAGAGTAACCTGTCGCCAAAGCGCTCTCTCTTGCAAAAGCTTTTTTCACGCAGAGACGTCGCATCCATAATTGAGCGTCAGCCGCAAATTCTGGGTTACAGCTATGCTCGCCTGTCTCATCGCCTGAAGATCCTGCAGGAGCACGACTGCTTATCCAAGCTTGCCAGCGTAATATCCCTGACCGATGCGAAGTTCGACCAGCGATTTCCGCCATTCAAAACTCACTGCAGCGGCACTAGGTCCTAAACCCCTAAACCCCTAAACCCCTAAACCCTACACCCTAAACCCCCTAAACCCCCTTCCTTGGGTGCTGCCCACTTCCTATGCTTGCCAGGATCCAACTCGGGGGCGCGGCGCGACAGCTCGAAGGCCGTCCTTTAAAAGATTCTGGCTAATTTGAGAATACCATAATGGCAATATACAGTAGTTTATAGGTTGGAGGTCTGCTCTATCCGGTTTGGGGGGGTTCTTTAGGCTATATCCCCTCAGGTAGTTACCACTTACTTTTGTGCTTAGTTATCACTTATCTGTGCCCTAGTTACCACTGAACTTTGTCCTAGTTACCACTTAACTTTGCCCCTAGTTACCACTTAATCCTGCCTTAGTTACGTTACCACTTAACTCTGCCATAGTATCTCTAGCAAAGCTAGAAGCTCCACCTCCGAAGCCACTCCGACGAGGCCCTTGTGAAAAATGGGCCCCCATTACGAGAAAATTTATGTGGTAAATGGGCCCCCATTAACAGCAAAGTTAAGTGGTAAATGGGCCCCCCAATTAACAGGTAAATATCGTCTAAAGAAAACGTGTTAGAGAGGAGATCAAATTTATAGGGTTTCCTTGTCATAGCAGCTTAGTTTACGTTACGAGAATGGGAATGTATAGTAGCTGATAGGGTTTCCCTGTTGTAGCTTAAATGTAAGCGCCTAGCAGCTGCACAGCGAAGACTCTGGCTGCTGCGATTTCGGGTTTGGGCGTTTTGGGGCTTAGGGGTTTAGGGTTCAGGGTTTAGGGTTTAGGGCTTAGAGACGGAAGTTGAGGGTTAGCGTGATGTGACATGTAGGTTGAAAGCCGGGGAGGCATGGACTGCGCGCCTGCGGTTGGGAGTTATTAGCTTGCCGTTTTATTGTTAGGAACGCTTCTTCCATGCGAGCTTGGTAATAGCTTTGTTGCTCAGCACATCACCAGTCGCGGATGATTCTAGGTTAACGAAGGCACAAAGGCTTTTGCGGTTCGTGTTGTCCTCGGAAATTTGTCCTCCGAGAAGAACTCCGGAACTGCAGACTCCGATTTCGGAGGCCGTGAGTGCTGTGATGAAGGTGTGGTTGGCTCATGGCTCGTTGTAGATTCACTCCTGGCTTTTGCTGCTCTCTGTGCCATTCCAAAGCTCACCGCCTGGATACCCAAAAGGTCCACGAAACCCCCAAACTCAAAACTCTTGTATAACAGAAGGCACCAGATCGTAAATTCTTACCCCGCAAAGGTGTGACACAAGCGATTGCCAATCCATAGCTCTGGTCTCATCCCGCTTGAGGTTGGGGTCCAAAAACCGTAGGTCCCAGTTGCCTGCCGTTCACCCTGGCCTAACGTGGAGGAGCCATGCGTGCACCCGGTATTCCAGAAAGTAAGCACGTCCGAGATCAGTGAGATGTCAAAGATGGGAGATGTTGTCAGTTTGGCATGTTTCAACAGGGGCAATAGACAGGGCGGTTGAAGCTCAAGGCAGGGAAGTGAGCCTGAATGCTACAATGTGCTTCGCCCACAGGAAGAATCCATGTCAAGCTTCTCCCGCCGCTTTTCGACTGCGCAGCTATGCAGAGCCTAGCATGGAACGAGTGGAGAGGAGGTGCCCGAAGGGAAGGTGTAGGAGTTCATGGCGGCGGCTCGGAGCCAGCTACTGCTTCCTGGGACTCCTCCTGGGACATCTTACGCTTGGGCTCTCGGCTTGCGGCCCGCCCTTTTGGAGGAAGGGCCGTCCGAGGAAAGCGCACCGCAGCCATGCAGAGGTGGAGCTATTGTCCTGTCTGGCGGAGCTGCTGATGCCGCAAACGCCAATCTGCGAGCTGTTTCGGGACTTCCCTATAGGATCCACGCGGGAGCCGCGCTGGCTGAGCGCAGGCATTGCTGCCTATGGCGTGCTAGAAGACCATGGTGCGGCTTTGTTCGTCGAGTACGATGGAGCCGACAGGCGCCCGGATGTGCAGCCTGGCAGTTGGGATGAGGTCAAAACGGAAAGCCTGCTTCAGTACGCGCCCGAGGGATCGCGCCTGCTGCGAATAGGCCACAAAGAGCGTGACTTGACGAGGATCGAGAATTCGGTGGATGCGATCGTGAATGTGTGGCGCCAGGGGCATGGGCCGTCGCTGACGAAAGCTGTGGGCCAAGTTGTGTGGGTCCTGCTGAGCAGCCGCGACATTGCGCTTCGAGAGCATGTTCGTCGGCGTCTGGATGCATTTGAGGTCACCGAGCCGAAACCAAGATTCGAAAACGCGCGCGAGTTTGCAAGTAAGGCAGTGCTCATCAGAGACGTCGAGGCGCAGAAGGCCAATGTGCTTGCTTTTTTGCAAGCTGATCTGGCTTTGTCCCGCACCCAAATCAAGGCATTGACCAGCAAGTTTCCAACAATCAGGGCCATCAGCGTCGACGGCAAGTTGAAGCCGATGGTGGCATGGCTTGGGGAACTCGGTCTGAGCCGAGAGCAGGTGTCGAAAGTCATTACCGCGAAACGTGGATTCCTTCGGTGCAGACTGGAAACCAAGCTGAAGCCCACAGTGGCTTGGCTGCAAGATATTGGGCTGTGCCGACAGCAAGTGGCGAAAGTTCTCTCTGGCTTTCCTGCAATTTTGGGGTACAGCCTCCAGGCCAAGCTCGAGCCTACAGTGGCCTGGCTGGAGGATATTGGGCTGAACCGCAAGCAGGTGGCTAAAGTCATTGCAGGTCATCCTCAAGTGCTGGGCTGCAGCATCGACGGGAAGCTGAAGCCCACGTTGACATGGTTGGATGACATTGGCCTGAACCAACAGCAAGTGGCCAAAGTCGTTGCTGAACATCCTTCGGTTTTGTGGTACAGCGTCGAGGCTAATCTGAAGCCCACTGTGGCTTGGCTCAAGAATGTTGGGCTCAGCCGAGAGCAGGTGGTCAAAGTCGTCGCACGTTTTCCTTATGTGTTCGGCTACCACCTCGAGGTGAACTTGAAGCCCACTGTGGCCTGTCTCGAGGATCTTGGGCTGAGCCGAAAGCAGATAGCTCAAGTCATTGGTGCCTTTCCTTCGCTTTTGGGCTTCAGTATCGACGGCAATCTGAAGCCGACACTGTCTTGGCTTGAGGATGTTGGGCTTACCCGACAGCAGGTGGCCCAGGCCATCTCCGTCTGTCCCTCAATCCTGGGCTGCAGCATCGAGGGAAATCTGAAACCCGCAGTGGAGTGGCTTGAAGATGCTGGACTCTGCAGAAAGCAAGTGTGCAAGGCCGTTGCTGGCTTTCCTGGGTTGTTGGGCTTAAGCATCAAGAGCAACTTGAAGCCGAAAGTGGCCTGGTTCGAGACGCACGGACTTAGCCGGCCGCAACTGGCCAAAGCTGTTGCTAAATATCCACGGATGCTAGGCTTGAGCATCGCAACTAAGCTGAAACCCACGGTGGCTTGGCTTCGGGACGTTGGGCTGAGTCGACAGCAGGTGGCCAAGGTCATTGGCCGCTTGCCTCAAGTGCTAGGATACAGCATTGATGCCAAGTTGAAGCCAGCTGTATCGTGGCTGGAGAAGATGGGGCTGACCCGGTCGCAGGTGGCAGAGGTCATTGTAGCTTTCCCGCAAGTGCTCAGCCTCAGCATCGAGAAGAATCTGTCTCCCAAGCATCTTTTCTTGCTGGAGCACTTCTCTCGTGACGAAGTTCGAGACATGATCAGACGTCTCCCTGCACTTCTGGGCTATAGTTTCTCTCGGCTTCGTCATCGCCTCCGTTTGCTGCAGAAGCACGATGCGGTGTCCAGACTGCCTGCCGTTATGGCCTTGACGGACGCTCGCTTTGCGGAACAGTTTCCGTCTTGAGCTAGGTGCAGACATCCTTACTGCAGCTAGCATCTTCGAAGGAAGACAGTACCGGTAGGACGCCAACATGCTTGTGATTTCGGGAGGGATGTGCAGTTCTCAGACACCCCAGCCGTGGCCGTGGCTCTGGCACGCGAGTTTCCATGTCGCAGACTTCTGCTGTCCGACTGTGCCAGCAAGATGAAGTTCAGCTCGGTGTGGCTCGAAGATCTTGGAGGCAGCTGGCCGAAGTTGCTGGCTCTTCTTGCCATTCTCTAGCTTGCAGGTATGCCACCATGAAGCCCACAATGGTCTTGCTTGAGGAAGCAGATGGTCCGCATCAGGATCAACCTGTCAATGCCTGTCATGAGATCGAATATAGTTTCGGGCAAATACGGAGGTCCTTTAAAGCCACGTGTGGAGATTCTGGAGTATCGCTGTGCCGCCCTTCCTGAGTCGTTGCTCGAAGATCCTGTTTCAGCACTTTGCTTGTCGAGCGAAGTTTGGCGGACGATCTTTCGCCGTGAGAGTGTGCGAGACGGGACCACGATGCTTCAGTAGATCGACAAAAAAGGATGTAGATTCTGGGCCTGTTGTGCTCACGCCTGAACCCAAAGTGCCCCAAGTCCATCAGACCCAATAACCAATTTTTTTTGATGAAGCCCACTTCCCATTTCTCCTCGCTCTTCTGGGCCTTCTTTGGGCTTTCGGCATTTGGGGATCTTTGGGATCGACGTCCGGCTGCATTTCCATCGACTCGCACTCGCCAGGCCGCGGTGTGGACAACAGCAAGGGGAAGTTCTGAATCTACGAGGAGCCGTTGAAAGAAGGACGAGCAGCGTTTGCTTCAAAACAAGGAAACGCGGCCTGGGTTGGTAGATCTTCGCAGGTTGTGCAACTCCTAGTCCCAGTCGCATCTGGAGCCTTCTTGTCGCTCGGGGTGTTTTCAGTTGATGTGTGACGGGCAAGGTAGTTTGATAAGCTGGTGCCCTTTTTAACAGGGTGGGCTTTTGTGCTCCGATCTCGAACTCCGTGGAAGAATAATAGCAATAATAACAGCAAGAATAACAATACACTATCCAATGGCAACAGTACTCGTATATATGAGAGCAAAAATACTACTCCCAACCTCAGAGTCGGCTCGGCTGCGCCTTGCTTTGGCTAAGAGAAACCGACGCTTCGAGACCCCCGAAGCTCAAGGAGGCGTGTTGGGGCCGCCTTCAAAAAAGGTTCCTGGAAAGGGATCTGTAAGGGTTCAGTTAGTTCGATAAGGGATCTATGAAGGGTTCTATAAAGGATCTATGAAGGGTTCTATAAAGCGTGAGTTTAGGATTGTTCGATCTCCGCCTCTCCGACGGTTAGTAGACGCTCCGTGTCCTCAGGCCAAGCCAGACAGCCAAATAATTCCGAGAACCCAATGCTGCTTGCTACCTCTTACTTGAGCACTATACCTCAATGCATGTCGAGGATCCTCCATAACTTTAATGAGTTTGGGCTCTCTGGGTTGGACACACGGTATTTGGCAGAGCAGAATCCAAGAGTCAAGGCTGTCGAAACACAGGGAATGATTATGTTGCGTCAATGCACAATTTGTCTATCACTCTAGGGCCCCCTCTTTTCAATCGTACATTGGTAAGTCGGTTTGAGCTCCACACCTGAAACATCGACTCGCAACGATGGCACTGCAAACCGCCACTGCTCCGCGAGCGCTGGCACATTGCAGGCCCCGTGCGAAGGGTTAGCAGGTTCTTGAAGTCAAAACCTACTAAACCTAGTTCCCAACGCTCCCCATCCTAAACAGAACCCTCAATTCAAAGGCAGGCAGCGGAAGTCCTTCATGCAGAACCGTAGCGTGAGGTCGCAGCTGAAAGCTCAAGGGCAGGGAGAGCGGAGATGACGTGAGTAGATGCACTTGAAGAGAAGGTGTGGGATCTCATGGAGCTTGGGAGCTGGCTGCTTTCTGCCCCTGAGCTTTGTGCTTGGCTTGGCGGCTTGTGGCCCTCCCTGGTGGAGAAAGGGCCGGCCGAGGAAAAGGCACCGCAGCCGCGCGGAGGTGGAGCTTCTGTCCCGTCTGGCGGAGCTGCTGATGCCGCGCGAGCCCATAGGCGAGCTCTTCCGAGACTTCACCGTGGAACCGTCGCTGGCATGGGATTCGTGTTCGCTGAGCCCGGGCATCGCTGCGTTCGGAGTGCTGCAGAACGATGGCGCAGCTCTGTTCGTCGAATACGACGGCAGCGATCAGCGCTCGGATGCGCCGGGTTGCAATTCGACGAAACAGCACAAGACGAAAGCTCTGCTCCGCTATGCACCCCAGGGCTCGCGCATCCTGCAAATAGGCCATGCCACAGGGAACTGCAGGAGGCAGGAACATTCGGTGCATGCGATCGTGAATATGTGGCGCGCAGAGCATGAGCCGTCGCTAATGAAAGCTGTTAGCCAAAGCGTCTGGGCCCTTCTCAGTAGTTGCGACATTGCGCTTCGAGAGGACGTCTCTCAGCGTCTCCATACTTTCCAGGTCACCGAACCGAAACCAAGATTCAACAAGGCGCGTAAGTTTTCAAGCCAGGCAGAGCTTACCAGAGACGTCGAGACAAAGAAGGCTGACGTGATTGCGTTCCTGGAACGGGATCTGAATTTCTCAAGCACCCAGATCGAGACTGTGGGGAGCAAGTTTCCCGGGATCTGGGGTTTGAGTGTCGAGGGCCTTCTGAAGCCCACTTCAGCCTGGTTTCAGCGTGTTGGGCTGAGCCGACAGCAGGTGGCCAGGGTCGTGGCTAGGTTTCCCCAAGTCATGGGCTGCACCATGGAGAACGACCTTGTGCCCAAAGTGGTGTGGCTTGAAGATGTTGGGCTGAGCCGGCAGCAGGTCACCAAAGTCATTGCTGTCTTCCCTCTTATCTTGCGCTACAGCATCGAGGCCAATCTGAAGTGCAAAGTCACCTGGCTCGAGCGTGTGGGGCTGAACCGCAAGCAAGTGATCAAAGTCGTTTCTGACCTTCCGCAAGTATTCGGCTGCGACCTCGAAGCGAAGCTGAAACCAACTGCGGCCTGGCTCGAGGATCTTGGGCTGAGCAGAAAGCAGGTCGCCAAAGCCATCTCGATTTTTCCGCAAATCTTGAGTTGCAGCGTCGAGGGCAAGCTGAAGCCCACTGTGGCCTGGCTTCAGCAGGTTGGCTTGGGCCGAAAGGACGTGGCCAAGGTAGTTGCTACATATCCTTATGCATTGGCCTACAGTTTGGAGGCCAGATTGAAGCGCACAACGGGCTGGCTCGAGGATGTTGGGCTGGACCCGCAGCAGGTGGCCAAGGTTGTGGCTTGTCATCCTCCGGTGTTAGGGTACAGTGTCGAGGCGAATCTGAAACAGACGGTGGCCTGGCTCAAGGACTCTGGGCTGAGTCGTCAACAGGTGACCAAAGTTGTTGCCGGTTTTCCGCCAATCTTGGGCTATAGCATCGAAGGCAATCTGAAGCCAACACTGGCCTGGTTGGGAGACGTGGGGTTGAGTGGGCCGCAGGTGGCCAAGGTGATTGCTCGCTTGCCTCAGGTACTTGGATACAGTATTGATACCAAGCTGAAGCCCGCCGTGATGTGGCTACGGAACATCGGGTTGACTCAACCTCAGGTGGCTAGAGTCATCGCAACCTTCCCGCAAGTGCTCAGCCTCAGCATTCAGAACAACCTATCACACAAGCATCTGCTGCTGCTCGAGCACCTCTCCCAAGACGAAGTCTGCGAGATGATCTTGTCTCTCCCAGCGCTGCTGGGCTGCAGCTTTTCGCGGCTGGATCACCGTCTGCGTGTACTGCGGAAGCACGACGCCTTGCTGAAGCTGCCGAAGCTTATGACGCTGACAAACGCTGCATTTGCCAAGAGATTTCCATCTTGAGATGGCGGGACTGGCAGATTAGATTCCACCTGAGCGTTTCCGCTTGCTGCCCGTCGCAATGCCCTAGCGTGCCGGCGTGGACCTGGGCGGTGCTTGGCACTCCCTGGCCGGGTGCATCGAGTCAGCTCCTGCTTCCCGTGAGTTTTGTTTTGGGTGCGGAGTTGCCTGGCTCTCTCCAGCCCAATCAAGATGGGGAGCAAAGGCGCTGCTTGGTGCAAAGTTGCGTTTGAAGCGGTGCCATTATTTGGTTGAAGGTGTTGCAGCTTAGAAACGCTACAGGCAAGGCTTTCGGGCAAGCCGAGATCGTGGTGGACGCGTCTGGGGAATGCAGCAAAGCTTTGCTTCTCGCTCTGTGGGAGGTCGCTGCTCTGGTGTCTTTTCGGTCATGCGCATCGAGGCGCTTAGGCCGCACGCTTCGGTTTCCGCTTCTCTTAGCCGTTGCTTTCGCCGCACTGCCTTTGGAGAGTAGTGAGTAGTGACGACGGACCGATGTAGGAGAAGGCTTCGTGCCGAGCCAGGCGTCCCAGACGATCCACGGCCATCCTTAGATATTGGGTGTGCTAAGTCGCAAGCGAAGCAGATGAGTCGATTGTCTCTGGGTAAGGCAGGCTCTTACTAACTTACACCGGACATGATTCAAGGAATGGCATCGGGGGCAGCCTGAAAACCACGGCGGCAAAGTTTGAGCATGTTGCTTGGTGCAGCATGAAGATGGCAGAAGTCTTTGCTAGCAAGCTTGGGGGGATGCTGGGATTGTCCGGCTGCATGTGGCGCAGCTCAGCTTGTGCGGCTTGCCTTTTTCTCAGATGTTCGCTGCCATGGTGGCGCAAAAAGTCTTGCTCAGCTTCTTCCTGTCAGCTGTTGTCATATCATCATGTAGCCCCGTGGGAGGACACAGAGTTTTAGTCTAGTGGAAAGCTTTCCGCCCTGTTTTACCCCAGACAGCTAACTACCTCAGGGGTCACCTCCTCAAACCCTTCAATAAATCCGTTCTCCTTGACCCCAAGCTTTCTGCGAATATGCTTTCAATAACTGACATCTGGCCTTCGCTGTAGGATGCTTTGCAGGGCCTCATACTGCTCCGCGCCGCCTCGTTTTGCAGGCCTCCGCTGCATCGCCACAGCGAGGCCGCAGAAGCCTCGCTGAATTCGGCGCGAGGCCAGGCAGGGCCGAAGTGGAGATTTCACGAGAGATCCTTGTGCTTCGGGTGGCGACCAAGTCGTGACTGTAACGAATGGTCTCGAATAGGCAGAAGCGACGTTGAAATTTGAGGTGCTTGTTTTCGGGTTCGTGTTGCCTAAGACCTGTTGTTTCCTCGAAGCCGTGCCGGGTCGAGATGAAAGGGTGGAGAGTCAGTGTAGGCTTTTGAAGGGAGTATGTGTGCCAAGCGTGGGTCGGGAAATCGTTGGGGACGGTTCGGAGCGATCTGTTGGCTGCTCGGCTGTTTCAGCTTGGCGGCTTGTGGGCCACACTGGTGGAGGAAGGGTCGACGGAGGACGATCCACCGGAGCTATGCGGAGGTGGAGCTGTTGTCTCGTTTGGCGGAGCTGCTAATGCCGGAGGAGCCCATCG